AAAAAAAAAAAAAAAAAAAGAATCCTGTATTAGTGTTCATTCTGTTTGTGTTTGTCTAGTGTTGGTATCACTGTAAATCTTACCTAATAAAATGAGCAAAAAATACTCACTTTTAATTTTTTTGGAAGATTTTGTATAGAATTGGTTCTCTCTCTCTCTCTCTCTTTCTTTCTTTTAGACATTCTCACTCTGTTGCCTGGGCTGGATTGCAGTGCTGCAGTCTCAGCTCACTGCAACCTCCAATTCCCAGGTTAAGGTGATTCTCCTGCCTCAGCCTGCCGAGTAGCTGGGATTACAGGCACCCGCTACTACACTGAGCTAATTTTTTGTAGTTTTAGTAGAGACAGGTTTTCACCATGTTGGCTAGGCTGATTTTGAGTGCCTGACCTTGTGATCCACCCACCCAGGCCTCCCAACATGCTGGGATTACAGGCATCAGCTACCACACCTGGCTGGAATTGGTATTATTTCTTAAATGTTTGGTAGAATTCTCCAATGATGCCTCTGGGTCTGGAATTTTCATGTTGCAAAATGTTACTTATTTCTTTTAGATTGAGCTGTGAGAGTTTATCTTTTTCAAGAAATTTTTTCGTTTGTCAAACTTATTGACCTAAAATGTTTGTAATATTTCCCTAGCAGTCTTCTAATATACAGAATCTGTAGTGATATCATTCCTCGTATTCATGATATTTGGTAACTTGTGTTTATTTTTATTTTTCCCAATCTATTTGACTAGAGGTTTATACATTTTTATTGACCTTCTCAAAGACACCCTTTTTAAATTTCATTAGTTTTTTCTCTATTATTGACTCCATTTATTTCTGTTTAAATTCTCTTTCTACTGCTTACTTTGAGTCTAATTTCCCCTACAGTTTCTGATTTTTTAAAATGGAAGCTCAGGTCATTTAAGAGCTTCCTGTTTTTTCGTTGTTTCTAATAGAGACATTTAGTTCTATAAACTTTGCTGTAGATACTATTTTACCTTCATCATACAAATTTTTGTATGCTTTGTTTTTATTTTTACTCACTTCAAGATACTCAATTCTCTTTCTTTTTTAACTCATTAGTTATTTACAAATGTGCTATTTAATTTCCAAATATTTGAGTATTTTTTTCATTTATTTTTTCATTGATTTATGTGGTCATAGAACATGCTTTGTCTAATTTGAATCCTCTTAAATTGATTGTAACTTATGTTATGACTTAAAAATATTGCCTGTTTTGGTAAATGTTCCATGTGGACTTTAAAATAATATTTGTTATTCTTTTTTGGAGTACAGTGCTCATATTTTGGTCTTTTAATCTTTTGTGTTTCATTGTGGATAATTTCTATTGATTTCAAGTTCATTAATCTTTGATCTATAATATTTAATATATTATTAACCTTCAAAGCATTTTTTCACTTCAATCATTATAGTTTTCATTTCTAAAAATTTGATTTTCACATCTTCTATGCCTCTATTTAATAAACTCATTTTTTAACCTTTTTGAGTATATGAAATAAAATAATAATAACTATTTTAATACCTATTAATTCCATCATTTGTCATTGTAAAATCTGTTTCTACTAATTGGATTTGCACCTTCTGTGTCATATTTTCTTGCTTTTTCTCATGTCTAGGCATACGTGACTAGATGAGTAACACTGTGATTTTCAACTTATCATGTGAATATTTGTGCTGGCTCTTTTGTATTTCTATAAATACTTTTAGTTTTATTCTGAGATATTGTTAACTTACATGGAATCAATTTGATTATTTCAAGCCTTGCTTTTAAGCTTTCTTAGGCAACATTAGAGAGGAAAACATTTAATATAAGACTAGTTTTGTGCCACAATTGAGGCAATGACCCTCAAAGTACTCTACCTAATGTTTCCAGATAAATAATATTTTTCGGTCTGGCTGGTATGAATACTGGTACTCTCTGAACCGAAAATTGGTTCTTTTTTCTTATGTAGATGGTTATTTCCCTTGTCTTGGATAGTTTCATGACACATAACACTGAGCAACTCTAATGGGACATACTGTAGATTTCTGAAACACTCTCTTCGATGCACTACTGTGAGACCTGAGCTGCCTTGGACTCTTCAAGCTTGGTCCAAACTCTATCTCCTCAACTCAAGGAGGCCCCCACATTCTGCCTGTGTAGCTACCACGGTTAATTATATGACTCATTTGTTTCCCATTTGTCAGTATTACTGTTTTTTTGTGTCTGATATCTCATGTCAGAAAACCATTGGTTAAAATATTTGTCCAATATTTTTATTATTTGAGGTGGAAGGAAAAATTGGGTCTCTATTACTCCATCTTATCCAGAAATAATAATGAAGGCACTTGATTATTGATTTAACAACTGGACTTTTTTAGTCTAGTTTGTAATTTACTTTATCATTCCCTACTACATATCTTCAAAACAATTTTATTTTTCTTTTGCTTTTGAAAATTTTCTTTATTTTTGTATCAGAATTGCAAGCAAAAATTTGGTCTTCAAGGAACAAAAAGGTCTGTGGTGTGTCATTTGAAGTGCCATGTCTTAAGTTTGTTACAATGCTTTCATTGGTATTTTCAAACAGTCTTCATGAGGGATCATTTCAATGAATATCAAACTGTTTTTAATGATTAGAGTAGAAGGAAATAGTATAGACAGAGAAAATCCACAGAGGTATAGAAGCTTGTATCCAATATTATAGTCACTCAGGTTGTTTCAGTTAGGTCTTTGTGATTAAAAACAGAGCCTTTCGGCCAGGTGCAGTGGCTCACGTCTGTAATCCCAGCACTCTGGGAGGCCAAGGAGGGTAGATTGCCTGAGGTCAGGAGTTGGAAACCAGCCTGGCCAACATGGTGAAACCCCATCTCTACTAAAAATGCAAAAAATTAGCTGGGCATGGTGGCAGACACCTGTAATATCAGTTACTCGGGAGGCTGAGGCAGGAGAATAGCTTGAACCTGGAAGGCAGAGGTTGCAGTGAGCAGAGATAGCACTATTGCACTCCAGTCTGGGCAGCAATAGAAAAATGCTGTCTCAAAATCAAGAAATAAATAAAAAACAAAAACAAAAAAAAAGAGAGCCTTTCATAAGCAGATGAAAATAGGCATGGTGCTTGTAACAACAATCAATATAGAATCACATGGAAATAATCCAAGAAAATACATTAATGTATCATTGAGCATCATTGAAACTCAAACTAAATCCAGAAACTGGAACGTGATTTCATTGTGCTTCAATATATGCTTTACTACTGTTATGATTGCTATTCCCTCTGCTTTTTTTTGTTATTTCATTTAGATGTCTTTGTGCTGCCTCTTTCACCATCAACCAGCTTTACTGACCTCTATTCTGTACATGTGTTTCTCTAAATTCAAGTTCCTGACTACTCAGGCAGGTCTGTTATGATATCCGAGCCAAGCTCCACCCTTGCTGTAGATTCTTTCCTGTTTATTCCTACTACCAACTACTTCAGTTACTTTATAATGCACAATTCAAGTATCCAAAAGTGGGAATTCCATCTACCCAATTCATCTTTTGGTACAAGACCGCACCAAAGTTAACAGTTCAGTTTATGAATTGATTGCCTAGTGATTAGGTACGCAAATATTTAAAGCTTCAGGATATGATCATATAGATAACCTTAGTAAATATATAGGTGAATGCAATTTTCTTTAAAATAAGCTGTAAACTGAGCAAACACTGACTTTCACAAGTCTGATACTTATGTAGACAAGAAATTAGAGGGCAGAATCAGAAACCATGGACAGAATTTACAAGAAGATAGATTTTGGAAAAAAGCACTGTTAAGTATGTTTTTAAAATTCAAATATGGTATAGGGTGAGACCTTTAGGTTTAACCTTGAAATTTTGATTTGTATGTATTTTAAATTACATTAGAATCATCTTAAATAGTTGCAATATTATTCGACTTTTATACAAGCATAAATGCTGGCATTTCTTCAAAGACTACAATTTGCAATATGAATGCTAAAAATAAAAAATGAAAACAAAAAAAGAAGAAGGAATTTCAATAGTTTATCATTTCTTTCTATCTTATCAACATTAATTATTCAGAATGACAAGAGGGAAGGATGAACTAATGCTTGATGTGTTGCAAAATGCAAAAATTGTCTCAGGATTGTTCTGAAATTTAAATGTGAAGACCTAAATATTTTTTCCCCTGACAGCTTTACTTGCAACTGG